TCAAGCGGATAATGCAGCTTTGACATGACAGAGAGATGGACAAAGACAGCAGAGAGAGAACGAGAAGCAGAGAGAGAGAGAGAGAGAGAGAGAGAGAGAGAGAGAGAGAGCGCTGTTAATGGCTTTGGTGTCCTTAAACGAAAGTGCAGCTGAGTAGTTGTGTTCAGAGCTCTTATCAGTGCAGTACGGGGAGAGAGGCGCTCCAGATAAAGAGGCAGCACAAGTCATGTGGTAGCTGTCATATAACAAGCCCCTCCAAAAAAAACAAAGTGCTATCTCCCGCTTAGGAGAAAACGACTTTTATCCTTCAGCAGCCGCTGTCTCTTTACCAGAGCACAGAACAATAAATGGCAGTGCAGGAGCCACAAGGCTAAAGGAAATCGATGCACGCCTCGGAATGAATCAGCAGTGCGTTATTGGTTATTTTCCTCATATCAATATTTATCACGGAATTCCTCTGACAGCCTTGCTTTAGGCTGTATGACGACAAAAGAGAGAAAATTATTTCTGCCACTGGAGAATCAGGTCTGCTCGCTGTAAGTGCGCGTGTTTGCGTGTAGAGTGCTCAAGAAGTTGTTCTCGCAAAAGGATAAATGGGGTTAAATAGAGTGTAGCTAAATTTGAGCTCAAGGCTTTCAGCTGACTCAACTGTGGGAAAAACAAACTTGCTGTTGCCAAAGCTGCTTCAAATGTTTCAGCAGTTCAGTGGCACCGGAAAAGAATGAGCTTTACCCGTCTTTAGTGTCACCTCTTTCTCTGGCTGGTCTGTTTAGTTCCGTAACGTGAGAAGACTTTAATCCTAATCCAGTTGCATGTGTGGCCATTAATAACTCCAAGGATGGTCAATAGCCGGGGCTTGGCTTCAGCACGAAGAACACTCTTCTGGAAGCAATGGCCAGATGAAAAGACAGAAGTCTTGCATGCCAGATCAACACTGGACTGGAAACTCCACAGCTTTGCTGCCATATCTCATTGGTAGTACTTGATGTACTGAAAGGAAGTGGCCTGTCAGAACCCTTTAAAGCAAGAGAGGTGCAGTTTTCCTCTTGGTGGTCAGAAGCTTACATTTAGTGATGCACCAAAATGCATTGGCTGAAGACGGAATTTAGGACACACTGCCAAAGCTGACAATAAATAAAAACTGTTTTCATAAAATAAACTTACTACAATGTTTACAATATGTAGGCTACAGTGTGTGAAATCCAATGTTCTCAACAACAGAGAATGGCTGGTCACCGAGGCAATGAATTTAATAGAGAATTTGCTGGTTGTTTTTAATCAGTGTTTTTAATCACTATTACTCATTTTCATTAGCACTTAAACTGTATACGAAGTCTTTGATTTTGACACTGCCTTTTTTCTATTTCAGCCCCCAAAGATGGTACTTGGTACCAACGGTACTCAGTGGCCGAAATTTCAGTGCATCCCTACTTACATCACTTGTTAGCCTAGTCTTGCAGCTCCAGTGCAAAACTAAACACTGAACATGTTCAGTGGTTGGTAAAGCGTAGTGGGTAACACAACTGCCCTCCACCAGCAGACTGGGGCTCCCTCCAAGACAAGCACACACTATACATACAAGCATCCTTGGGCAAGACTCCTGACGCTAATTCACCTTCCTTTGTAACATAATTATATTGTAATTCACTCTGCATAAGTGTACATGTAAACATGCCTTGACTGATTAGCCTCACTGGCCATAAAGACAGCCTTACAGTGGAGGTAAGGAGAAAACTGTGCATATTCACAATTCACAGAATTATCGCAGACGTACACAGATGAACAAATTTGCAGCTCAGATGGTTTTGCATCGCCCATTTATGTATTGAAGACAGCTGCATATCAAGCTCATTGGACATGCTGTGCAGTTTCATGATGACAGTAAGTGTTGCAATAGTCTGCAATAGCCCTTCTCCCTAGAGTAACTGGGGATAGTGTGTGCTCGTCTGCAGCTTCTTGGCATACTTTTCCAGTTGGCTTCCCAGTGACACATGAAGCGTTGAAGAACAAATGACATCACTCGGCGACCGGGGCTTCAGCTGGCCGCTACGCTGCGCAGTGACCTCACCATGGCCCATCCCAGCACACGCGCCCAATTATCCACAGTCCTGCAATGACACCTGCTCTTTACAAGCCAGACTTTTAACCAGCGAAACTCGCTCTCTCAAAAAGCACAACAGTCAATAAAGAAAGATCAGACTACTGACCCCTAAAATGTGATGATCTGGCAAATTACAGCTGAACTGTCGCAGTACATTAAAAGGCCTTTCACATGCACACACAGCATGTAACACCTCTTTTCTAAACACGTGGACAATGGCCTAGAAATAAGTAAGAGTTATGGTTCAGAGACCTTGCTAGATATAAGCTCACATAGCAGGACAGTACATCAAGGCTGGACACCACCCACTATAATATCATCATTACTTGTGTGTTCTCCACACATTAATCACACTGTCAGCACTGCAGGTTTGGGCTGCAAAATATGGACAAATTTTAAAAAGAGGGTTTAAAAAAGGGTTTAACAATACCAGAATTTTGACTTCAGTACCAATATCAAGTGTATTACCACAATGCTTGATACCAAAATTAAACTATTTCAAAAAATGTCAAAATAAACAACCAATGCTTACTAGATTTAACAGAGATAAGTATTCAAATTATATCAGCTTAGTAGAGTACAGAATACATCAGTATCTATTTAAAAAGCCCTTATTCTACTTTGTTACTGTTTTCCCTTAGGTACACTTGTGACATATCTGTGAGTCGTAATTAATTTTTTCATGACTATTTCCCAACCTCTCCTCATCCCTTTGAATCAATCAGGCTGTTTTCATTACTGTTTCTTTAAGATATATGTCATGATCTCTCTTCAGATTGGCTGCCCTGTATTTTGCCACATTTAAAAAGCCAACTTTTAATGCTGCGCTCAGGTGCTCGTTGGAAGGTTGTATATACCAGATGGTTAATTAGTAAATACAACTTCACTCTGTTGAGGTGCTTCTTCATAGGTATGCCCCCTACATGGAAAAAGAAAGCACAGAGGTCCAAAGAGCACAATCCTGCTTCTTCTTTGCTGTATTATGAAGCACATACATTTAGTAGAAGAGCATCAGTTATACGTTTTTCACATTCACTGCTAGTTTAGTATTTCTCATTCGTGTAAAAGCTGAAGGGTCACAGCTCGTAAACTCGTGTCACCTACAACCCCGAGTTTACCAGCTGACAACTTTGTCACCTGTTCGAGCACAACTTACAGGTGTAAAAACCTTTTTTTTCCATTTTCCAACAACACTTGAAGGCAGCATACCTCCAGCGTGAATGGGCGGAGCTAAACTGTTGTCAGCTGAATAGGTGGATGTATGTACATGTTGTGGTTTTTGTGACATCACAAGACCAATGAATTCAAAATGGACTGTTTTTGTAGCTTTGTTTCCATACATGTATGGCATTGAGTGGTACATTTTAAAACTTTAGCCATGTTTACATACTACATCAAACTGTTTATTTTGAAAATCAGGGGAAAATCCAGTTTCCATGATATGAGCTGTTTAAATAAATAACTGAAAGTATTGAAAGTTAGCACTCAATTATTTACTTGTTGTTGTAGCATTGAAAAAGTATTAAACTTTTGATATTCCAAACAAGGCTATTGTGATTATACTGCCATGTATTTCAACTGCAATATGCCTTCCACCTCAGCAGTGCATTAGCACTGCAAAAGCCAATTGGCAATAGTGATTAATAAATCACACACAAATTATCTAACCGCTTATCCACCTGGGCCGCTGGGGTTGCTGGAGCCTATCCCAGTTCATCATAGATGAATGATAAATAACTTACTAAAGTTAATGCAAATTTATAATAATCATGATTAATCCCAGAGACGGAGAGAAATCTAAAAGGTACTGACACGTATACCATGATGCCTAAAATACAGGCCGCTCAAACCTGTGAGGGATAAAGTATGCATGCAAAATATTTTCATTATCCATTTTTAACATTTAACCAACAGTACCTGTTTTACAGGTAATGCAAGCACAGAGGTAACCTGATCTGTAAATACCTTTCACATTTCACAAGCCCTAAAATAGAAACTTCAAAAAAGACAGCTTTAATTTACTCATCAGGAACCTGTTAGCAAATGTCTCTCTACTAAAATCACTTAGCACAGCCAAGTTAAGCCAAAAGCTATCGAATTTTAGGCATGTTTTAATACCTTCCTAGTGTTAAAAGAAGACAGTATTATCTTCAAACCTGAGAAGTCACAAGGTTCCTTGATGAGAGAGATTAATGACGTGGCCTAGGCCAGGGTGACATGCACTTTCACTCATCTAATAATGAGGGAAGCCCCTATTCCTCATCCTCTCTCCTCTCCTCCCTTCCCCCCAAAGGCCCAGCCAACCACTACATCAGCCAAGCACCATCACACATACCCACACAATCACAGGCTGCCACTAAGAGCGCAGTCCATTAGAACAAAAAAGTGGAGAACCATCCTCTAGAAGAAAAGCTAAAACAGAAATAATATATTCTCCACTAGCTAGACTGCATGGATCAGCTGTACAAATACAAACTGGAGCACTGTATTTGCATTACAGTGCATGAGTCATTTCAAAATCTGCCTCTGGAATGGTGGCTGAGGAAACAGTTGGAATCATCTAGGTCAGCCTGCTATTCAAGACAAATAACAGACCAGGAAAGGCCTTAAATACTTCAATGGTCTTGAGACACTGAACATGTTCACCGCAACAAAAAACCTGAGGTAAAATCTTAAGCTGAAAGCACTACTGCTCTCTTTAAACTTATCCTCAGGGCGCTCTGCACTTGCTGCTAGGTGAGAAACTTTCTTCCTCTCCATTTTGAGCGATTTGAGGCCACTTATACTACAGTTCAGTGCACTCAGGGCAGCGCAGCCCGGCAGGAGCTGCTCCAGCCTTTACCCGAGGCGGCGAAGGAGGAAGAGGAAAAAGAAGAGCTAAAGAGGGGATTAAGTTTACCGTTACAGAACTGCAGCAGCGAGGAGGTGTCGTAGAGAGAGCTGTAGCTGGAAAAGCCGTCCTCCATTCTGGCGCTAGCGCTCCTCTCTCCTCCCGTCTTCTCTCCGTTACTCTCGCTGGCTCTCCACGGCGGCTCTCTCTCCATTCAGGGCCGGGGTCAGCCTGCCAGTGTCAGTTACCATGACAACCCCTCCACTCCGAGGCTCGAGGCACGCCAACTCGGACACTGTATATCTGTCTCTTGTTCCTTTTCGAAGTAGTTTCCCCCCCAAAAACAGGGACAGACAGTATGTAAGTTTTAAAAAAAAAAGCAGTGTGTGCTGTTTCTTTTTATCCTCCGCTGCTTCTTCTACCTGCTTCTCTGCTTTGTTTTTTCCTTCCTCAGCGGCTGCGCGGTGTTAAAGCTCCACCAGAAGAACAGCTTTAGACGGCTTGAGCTCTCAGAGCGGGTCGAGCGAGCGTGTGTGTGCGCGCGCTTGTCTGTGTGTGTATTAAGAATGTGTGTGAGAGGGTTTGTGTAATGTCACGGACACACTGCTGAGCTTGCCGGGAGTCCGCCTCGTCCCGCGCTGATACAGCCAATCAGAGCATAATTGGGCGTGGCTTCCAATAAAAACATCGCCATAACCACGCCCACCTGGCTGAGGGGTATTGAGAGCGAGAGAAAGAGAGAGAGAGACTTGGAAAGAAAGAGGAGACAGCAGAAGAAACTAAGCAGGGGAATGACTTAACGATGAGTTCGCTGCTTTGGCAAGACTGTTCAGAATTCTCTCTTAAAGGGAAAATCCGTCAAATTTCTCAAAATTTCTGCGCAGCGCAATAGTTAAAATGTAAAGAAGTCATTCGGAGTGGTTTGATGTAAAATCCCAGAAAAACGGTTACGTTGTGAAAACCTATTGCTTTAGCCTACAACGTTGTTACAACGTTGAAATGTAACGTTAATTCCTCAGAAAGTTGTAGCAGCGTTGTATGACAACATTGTGACAACGTTGACAGTATGTTGTCAAAACCTTCTAGAATCCTCATAAGTTCCATTATGTTGTGAATGGAACACAATGGAATTTTGCTAAGTTGCTAACAGGTAGTCATAACACCGCACGGCAACGTCACTGATTAATCAGGTTGTGACAACGTTGTGACAACGTACACAGCACCACCTTTTGACTACGTTGTAGCAACGTTGTAAGAAAGTAGACAACGTTGTGATAATGTTGTGTGTTTGCTGGAGTCCGAATTGTTCAAGGTGATAGGACCCGGACGTCTGAAGTGTTTAATAACGGCAAATTATTACATTAAATAGTGACGAATATGCTGCCTGATGCACGTAACATTGTCTTACGATAGTTTTGATATAAATGTTTTTTTTTAATGCCGTGAGTCATAAGGCAAAATAGTACCCAAAATAGTAACCAAAGAACCCGCATGTAAGTTAGTCATTTCGGACAGTAAATTAAATATTTGTGTTGTAGACATTGTGACCCCTGGTTCCTATCACCACCACTGTAAAGAAAGTCCAAGCAAGTTTCTCTACAATGCACCATTCCTTGTCAAAACACTCTGAATCACTTAACATCTCAAAGACTGAATTTTACGGAAACTTTGAAAAAATTGGTGGAATTTCCCTTTCAGTGAAACCAGGATCATAATAGTTTTACTAGCCATAAGCTTTAGATTGCTGATGTTAAATTTTAGAAGCTAAAATAGCCCTCATTCATGAAAAGAAAATGACCAACCACACCTAACATTGTTACCCACCAATTTGCTAAAATTACACAACATGGTGAAGATTATGACAACAAGGAAACAAGGTTTTCAAATGACTCACAAGCTAAAAAGGCAGACAAAAAAAGACAATGTCAAGCACAAGTCAAGGAAGAAAAGAAATAACAGGAGGGAGTATGAAAATGTGCCGATAAAAATCTACTAAACTGATCATATCAGTATGGAAGCACAGAGAAATGCAGTGCTGCTTCCATTGATGTAGACAGTAGAATCAGTAAAGAGGCAGATCCTGCAGGAGTAAAGAGTCAGATCCTACAGGAGAAGGGTGGAGGAGCTTGAGGTTTTTCTCTTCCTTCAAGAAGACACAATACATGACATCATGCTTTCCTTCTTTTGTGCCATAAATCCAAACATGCTTGTGCAATCAGTGCTGAAGCTAAACACTGTCATTCCAAGCATTATCTTATTTCCAGCGAATAAAGAGGAGAAAGAGAGTAAGAAAGTGAGAAAGAGAGAGAGGGAGAAGGAGAGGGAGGCTTCAACTGGGGCCTACAGAAGACATCACAAGGGAAAAAACCTTTTTAAATTATTCAGCAGCGGAGCGCTCACAGAAGCATGAGCATAAAGACGATTGCTTGGCCTACATTTACAGCTCTTTAAACAAAAGAATACAAGCCATTGGAAAAAAAAGCCTCGGCTGGCACGAGGCTGCCTCTTTGAAGATTATCGCACCCCTCGCAGCAGAGATGGAGCCCTGTGTTTTGAAGTGCCGTTCCATGTCTGTGTGCTCATGATTTGGCCTTGGCTGCCACCTCTAAAAAAAGGGAACAATCCCAGTTGGACGACAAGAAACCCCCCTCCTTCTTACCCCCACCCACCCTGAGGGCAGCCCTCTGCACTACTTCAGTCATTATGCAACACTGAGAGCCTCAGTGGATTCATATTTATAACGAAGGTCAGGAGAATCAAGCTTTGTCTACATGCACTCTTAGCCTAGGTTACAGCACTGACACAACCTTAACGTCTGTTCCACTCAAATACAGATAAATACCTAAACACCACAATTCAAGATATGGCAAAAATATATCATCCTGATACTTGTAGTCATTTTCATAATGCACAATATTCATCACTTTGTTTAGTATTTCTTAGGTTTGCAAACAAGTTGTAACAAAATTAACCAGCAAAACATTTTAGGAGCATGTGCAAACGTGTGAGCGTCCTTGGTCAAACGACGTGTTGGTAAGTGGAAATAAGTTAACATGTCCATTATAGGGAAGAAACTTCTACATGCCATATTTCAGTGCAAATTTTCTGTTTATTTTCTGAGTTTGACATAAAACATACAATTTAAAACTTGCCATTTCTTTTGCACAGGCTACATTTTATGTTTTATTTTTCTTCCCAATAAATTCAGCAAATCGTCACTGACAATCATGTATCTCCATTTTTGTTGATGTTTAGTTTCATTTCAACATACCAGCTGTCGTTTACTTTGTGTAAAAAATTCATGATGCATGGACAAATAGAAATATTCTAAAATTACTTGGAATAAAATCTTTTTACATTGAATTACATTGAAAGCTAAGAGTGTTTTTGCCTTCTCCTGTAAACCTGCTATTTTGGAGATACTTGTTTTTCTTTGGACAGCGACAAAAAAGACACTAATTGTGCATCAAAGTGTGCATTAGTTCATCAACAAAACACAAACAGTTAAAAAACGCTCTTCCACACGTTGCATGCACTAACACATTTCCACAACAGAGATCTCCAAATCCCCAAATCTTACATAGCGTAGCTTCAAGTAATCTCGGATATGTGACTGGTGTCTAGAAAACCAGACGAAAGTAAGTCACATGGTTAAAAAAAACAGTGAAATTTTGATTTTTGTGTAAAACTGTGTAAATGTGATTTTTTTTGCTGAACTATTTCTGCACAATGTGTCGTTACTAGATTTGTGCTGTTGATTATTGCTGCACACTAATGCGCTAGGGCTCTTGATAATTTTAGTGCCTCGGTTCTTGGCATGATAATCGTGTCCCAGGGCGCTCAGAAGGGAAACAGAGCTCATTGGTGGTGTCGAGAGATTAGAGAGAGGGGGAGACCCCCCTCACCACCATCCCCTAACACCACCCCCCTACAGCCCAGCCAGGGGGAGATGGAGAGGTTAGAGCGAGAGAGAGGTTGGATGAGGGAGGGTTTATCATCCCAGTGTTAGATGGGGGATCCCTCGGGTGGCAGCTGGACAGCTCTACACCCTGCTTTTGTTCTCCTGTAATTCTGGCTGGCCTCCAGTCTCTCTCTCTCTCTCTCTCTCTCTCTCTTTCTCTCTCTCTCTCTCTCTCTCTCTTTCTCTCTCTCTCTATTTTTAGACCTTATCACAACTTGGAGTCTCGTTCTTTTATCGAGTCACTCCAAAGAACCCTATCTGGTACCTTTATTTCTAAGATCAACATGAAGCAGAAATTATGATGATGGAATCAAAACTCAATGTTTTAGAAGCAGGGAAAGTCACTTCAATCAAAGTTTAGGGGAAAAGTCATTTGAATGGAGCTACAAAAGAAGGTAATTTTGAATTAATGTTCAGTGTATGTAATACACAGTACTGTGCAAAAGTGTTAGGCCGTCTGAGGAAATGACATGTGAAGCTATTTATCTGGGCTGCAAGTATTTATTTGTTTCAAAAAAGACTAACATTAGAATAAATACAAATAAATTAACAAACAATTCATTGTGAAATAAACAGTACGGTGTGATTTTAAGCGCTCAGTGTGTTAGCATAAGCCCTCCTTGCAGAAGCCCAATATTTACAGTTACCATCCAGTACTTGTTTCAGCTAATCAGTACTCCATTAAATAAAATCAGGTGCCCTTTTTGTAGAACTGAACAATTTCATACAATGGCTGGAGTGCAGTGAGAAGTTCCTATATGTAATAAGAATAATCTAAACTTAACCATAACCTTAACTCTCACTTCAACCTCTATAACCAAAAAGACATGCTTTACCCTTTCAGCTGTGGAATGTAGCATTTATAAAAAGCACTTTACAAAGTCAGGAACATATTGTCTGGTATCCCTACATAGTCAGGACGATGTATTTCAAATTATTGAAGGTTCCAAATTTTTAGCGAAACCAGGTATATCACAAATAAGACAGCGTATCATCAGCCACTTAAAAACTGGTCAAATCAACTTATACAGTATCAAAATGTGAGTTGTTGTCTGGTACCCACTACTAGAGATGACATTAACATCTCTAGTAGTGGGTACAAGATTAAGCTCAATCAAAAGTAAGAGTTGTGGCTGCAAAGAGGATTAATCTGTCCACGGTCGAACCATCTGCTGGTGGGTACATTTTGATTTTTTTGGGGGGTTATAGAGTAATGGTGACCTCTAGAATTCAGCTATAGGTCAGTAACACACTTAAAAATAAAGGTGCCAAAAGTGTTTTTGCCATATATGAAACACTTCTGGTTCCTAAAAAGCCATTCGATGGAAGGAAGCAACACATAAGGTTCTTTACCAATTAAAGCTTTGTCCTAGAACCCTACATCCAAGAATGATTTAGTACACTCTTAATGTAAAGGTTGAGGAACTACTACTACTCCACATAAGCTCAGCAATCAATATACAAATCTCCACATCTACTCATGCACAAGTTGCTTCGCCACTATAATTATGATTCTCTACAAACACCCCACCCACTGCGCTTACTGGCTTGTGATAATAAATGTCGGCAGGTTACGGGGGTAATCTAGGGGCAGCAGAGCAAGGCAGCCCCTGTGGTTCAGACTGCGACTCCAGCTGTA